AAATGTTTTGACCCTCAAAATCTCTTAAACCCTCGACACTAAACCCTAATACAATATAGTTAACCCAAACATAAATGACATAATGATTTTTTTTTTTTGTTGAAAAAGTAACATTTTTGCAAAGATTTTGAAAATGTGACATTTTTGAAAAGTGACATTTGAAAAATGACATTTTTTTTTAATTTCTCAATTTTTTTTAATGGTATATATAGAAAATTAGTGTTTGTTGACGGGTTTGTAGTATTGTGGTTTGTATGAACGTGGACTCAAATCCTAACATAGGTTGTAGACAATAAAAAAGAAAAGAAAAGAAATTTTGCTGTATAATCTTGAGAAATTTCAAAAAATACAATTTTTCAAATGCCACTTTACAAAAATGCCACACTTTTGAAATCTTTACAAAAATGCCACCTTTTCAATATTTTTTCTTTATATCATTTATGTTTGGGTTAATTATGTTCTAGTAGGGTTTAGTTATGAGGGTTTAGGGGGTTTTAGGGGTCAAAACATTTTTTAGGGTTTAGAATTTTAAGATATAGGTTTTATAAATCTATAATTAGTGGCATTTTTKYAAWTKKACACCCCTAAGTGGCATTCTTGCTAATGTGCACCTAAAAAGTGGTATTTTTGTAAATGCCTCTATAATCTTCTATTATATATACTTTATTAAATGAGAAACATTCTAAACTAATTTTGCTTAGGTGTCATCACTACAAATTCTTTTTTATTTTGTACTTATTTAATTACTCTATACTCATTACCAAACGCATATATTTCCAAACTAACTTATTTTCATTACTCTTATTCTAATTGCCAAACACATTGAAAAATCCTAAATTTACCAAAATTAAAATAATTTGAAATCCTAATGAAGTAAAAATCTCTTTTTTGGTGTGCCCATTTTCAAAAATATCACTATATGTTGTATATTTGCAAAAATACCATAAATTAAAGATTTTTCAACCCTAAATCTTAAAATTCTAAACCCTAAAAAAGGTTTTTGATCCCAAAAAAACCTAAATCCAAACACAAATGATATATTGAGTAAATATTTTTGAGAAAGTGGCATTTCTCAAAAATTTTCAATTCTAAACTTGCCAAAACTTAAATATTTAAAAAATTTCTAGACTTAAATCATATACTTGAATTTGAACAGAAAATTAACATATATTCCAAATTTTAATTAATTTTAAAATAAAATAAAAGTTAATTTGATTTTTTTTAATGAAAATCTATGACCATGTAAAACAATGTTTCATATATATTTTTACATACATAATTAGCTCATTTAAGATAGATACAATAATCATTTTTGCTTTAAAATTTTTGTGTAAGCAACTAAAATTTGCATTAGATCTTAACAACAAATCTAACAATATATTTAGTAACTTATGGTTAGTTCGGTTTGATTTTGTATAGTTTGAATTTGGTTTAGATAATTTAATATAGAAAATTTGAAACTTATTCATAATTATATAATTTGGTTCGAGTTTGGATTGATGAATTTTGATATACTATTGTTTTATTCGTCCATACTCATTAACAAACACATTTGAATACAATTATTTTAAAATCTAATATTAAATCTCACCATTTAATGTAAAAAATAAATAAATTCTTTTTCATATCTACTTTTTGAAAACTATAAACATGTGAAAAAAATTAAAAAATATATTTTAACAATAATTGGTACATAACTAAAAACATTTAAGATAAAGAAAACATTAATCGATTTTGTTTGGAAAAATATGTATTAGCAATTAAAAATTTGGGACATGCATAAAATGATACTAAAACTAAAACATGTGAGTAAAAACTAGATCAAATACTATGTGACAA